TTATATCATTAGGTAAATATCAAAGCACTACATTTAAAAATATTTAATCTAATGTAATGTCAAAACAGATATTATTTTATTAAATTATTGTAAATCAATTACGTTTATTATTAACACTCATGGGAAAAGCAATATGCTGATTTCTTTGAAACCTTTTAATAAATCTGTACATTCCAAAAGTGCAATCACTCGTTAGGTCATGTAGTTGGTATTCAGATCTGCTTCTTGAGGTATTGTTGCACTAGAACACGACTGAAATGATTAATTTTTTCTGGGACTTTTGTAAGTTGACATTATTTTGCCATTTTTGATGCAGATAATCGCTAAAAAATTTACACATTTGGACAAATTACACTTGTGTTTTAAGAATGTTTTGGTTAAAATACAATAAGTTTTTCACATGCTATGTCCCTAGACCATCGAATTTTGCTCAATAAAATTTGTATAAATGATTTTTTTTTTCAATTTTGTAAATAATTTATACAAATTTGGAATGACAAATTCAGAAGTCCAAGTATATATATTGTTATGGTGAAGTTATGTGATTTTTTTTATGTGTTTATATGAGCGCCAAATTAATTTTAAATTTAGTTTTAGTGTAACCTGTAATTTTGATTTTTAGTGTAGTGTTGGTTGTATACCTTGCCGTGCTAGCTTTAGACCCTGCTCAGTAGTCGGTTCAACTCAAACTATTATTCTTCCAGAAACCATGCAAACTAACAACTTAAAACAATAGATGTTTAAATTAATTTATTAATATTTATCTGGTATATCAATATTTCAAATTAGAAATTTCACACAAATTATCAAATATTTTGAAGCTCTTACAATGTTTTGACCACTTAAAACAAGAATTTATTTCGATCTGGTTAAATTACTGTAATACTGGTTGCTTTTTGGACGTAATTTATATTTTCTCCTGTAATTTCTTGTTTTAATATGTTCCTCTTTATATCTAATCTTACTATCTACAGATTTAAATAATTGGCCAAAAATTTTGATGATGCTTGATATATCACTGGCTTAAATTTGTTTCAAATGATTGATTTTGAATTTATCAAGATTTCCAAACGAATTTTACTGTTAATTTGTGCACAAACTGTATACGACAATTAAAAAGGTACCTTTTCTTTTATATACGGATTATTTGTTTATTTCCTTTCCTTTCCGGTTTCAGTAGTTGTTTGGACACTATCTGCTATACCGTTTTCTGAGGAATTTCCTGGGACCTGCTACTGATGCTGCTACTCTGGCCTCTTATTTATCTGGTTTCCTGGACCTCGTCTATGATTGTATTTCTTTCTCTCGGCTGGTGGCTTTCCGCTTTCTCTCTGCTGCTGATGCGTATAGTTCGTTTTCTTTCTGCTGCTTCGACTTGTATTCCGGGTTCTTTTTAATCTCTTTCTATAATATTTGACGTTTCTCCCAAAATTTTTTTGTAACTAATCAATAATTATTTTTCTTTTCTCACTACCTTGATTTTGGTTTTCCCCTGTTAAGGTCTTTTCACATATCTGATTCTGCTTTCTTTTTACTTGCCGTTTTTTTCTTTTTCACTCACCTCACTTCACTTAACCTTTACACTTATGCCCTATTATAGTTTCTTAACAATCTCATTTACATTCTACTTCAAAATATTTCTCATTTTCTACTCTTATGTTACTTTTCTATTTACTACTTGATTCCATGTGAATCCCACTTTAATTTTTTGACATTTCTTTGACATATTGATTTATTGATATACAACTTTTTCTTTGAACCTTAATATCTTTTCCTAATTAGTATTATACCATATATTATAACTATTTATAAACACTCTAACATTTTAACTTTTATTAGATATCGGTGACTTATGAATTTGAATTATTTTTATTTAATTTTTTTTTATTAACAATTTCTTGGCATATGCTTTATCTGAACAAATTTATAATTAATTTTCTATTTGAATTTTGAAATTTATTCTATTCTAATAAACCGATGATTCCTACTACTGATTCAATACTAATAATAAAATTTTTTTATCAAAAGTTTTCTTAATTTTATAATAACCATTTCAAACCATTATATTTACTGCTTTGTCTTTTAAATAGACATTTGATTTACATTTTGATTTGTTCTCTCATATCTGATTTCATTTCAATATTTAGATTATTTACCAAACGAGACATGTGGCGAGTCGAATATTTCGGAAATGGCAGGTTCTAGGTCAATATGTATGGTCAATAAAGTCAATCCAAAATTAAGCGAAGAATCTGGAAAAGCACTTATATACCGGGTGTTACATTTAAAATAACGAAGTTATGTATTGTCCAAAAAAAACGGAGCACCCTATATAACTGAAAATATTTTACGGGAATGCCCAATATAATTCCAGACAACTTTTATATAAAATATTTTTTTATTGAATTTAAAATAACAGAACTTTGTAAGAATCCGTCTTAGGTCAAACACCTGGTATTTTTGTATACCTATTGTATTGTGTATTGTATACCGGGTATTTTGCATATTTGTAGAAATAAAATTAATCATTATTAATAATAGACCGGGAGGGAGCGATACAATATAAAATACCCATGTATGGATGTTTTATATTGTTAATTTTTGCTTTAATGGCTCCAAAATGATATAACAAAACATAATTTCACTATGCGCGCGCTTCAAAACTTGTGCTAAACTTATTATTAAACAAATAGTGAAAATATTGAAGAAAATTCCATTTATTTTCTCTTTTTTTCAACACAATTCAAAAACTATTAATTTTAGAGAAAAATTGAAGAGGAAAAAAAGATTCGTAATTAAATTGTACACAAGATATACCTATTCAAATAAAAAAAATACTACATAATTATTGCAAATATAACAAAAACAACAAAAAAGTGAAAAAAATTACAATATCTGCAATTTTTTGAAAAGTATTTATATTATAGGTAGGATCTTCATACTTGGCCAAAAAAATCCTTTTGATATAATAAAACATCACACCAATTTTCCTTAAAATCGGTCCGATTATTTTCCAGTAATAATTTTGCAATTCAGATTAAAAAAAAAATGGAAATTTTTGCAAATTTAACCGAGTCTAAATTAAGACTTCTAGATACTTGAAAATTTTTTTCACATAAAAAAGGGCACTCAAACTTTAAAATGCGTCCAGAAAAATTGAAATCCGTTAATTAGGAGAGCCGAGGTAACTATTTAAAGATATGTGTAATTTTTGCGCTTATAAAAAAATAGAATAACTTTATAAATTAATTATAATAATTTTTTAAATTATGCTTTTAAACTTCTCGGAAAGACGCTTCTTTAAAAAAAAAGTGATGATTTGTTAATTTGTTCCAGAGTTATAGTCGATCAAAGTTGACCGGCATTTGTGGCGTAACTACGAGGTCTGGAGGGCTGTTTTTTAAACAAATACCTTTGCCATTCCGAGTACTTTCCGGGACTGAATTTGCAAAACTTGCGCTCTTGTGCAGCCCATATAAAATGTCAATTAAAACTACTGGATCGAGCATGAAATTCACGAAAAATGTATGGAAGGTATAGTTGTGGAGGAAGTCGAGAGCTCGGCTACTCCGGCCGACTCGAAATTGAAATCGCATGTTCAAAATAGTGGCGCTTTAAAAATTTTGATCATCTCGGCTTTTAGTGGTCCGATTTTGATGGGTTTTTTTAAATCGATGTTTCGCGAGCTGAAAAGTCCAAATATTGCATTTTCAAAGCGAATTATTGTCAATTATCGACCTATTAACATATTAATAATTACTACTTTTTAATTTGCTCTCTCTACTTTTCTCGTATTTTTCTTTATTCCATTAACGACTATTACTCAAATTTATATAATTTTTATCCGTACATTGTATTCAATTTATTTAAACATTCAAAATTGGTTCAAACAATAATTATACAAATAATTTTTTTAAATCAAATTATCTTAGAAAAAAAGCATTATACTACATTTTTATTGAATATAAATTCATTTTGATCGACTATAACTCTGGAACCAATTAACGAATCACCACGTTTTTTTTTTAAAGAAGCGTCTTTCCGAGAACTTTAAAAGCATAATTTAAAAAAATAATAATTATAATGAAATTATAAGTTATTCTATTTGTTTATAAGCGCAAAAATAACGCATATCTTTAAACAATTACCACGGCTCTCCTAAATAACGGATTTCAATTTTTCTGGACGCATTTTAAAGTTTGAGTGGTCTTTTTTATGTGATAAAGTTTTCAAGTATCTAGAAGTCTTAATTTAGGCTCAGTTAAATTTGCAAAAATTTCATTTTATTTTTAAATTTGGATTACAAAATTATTACTCGAAAACTATAGGACCGATTTTAACGAAAATTGGTGTGATGTTTTACTATATCAAAAAGATTTTTTTGGCCAAGTATGAAGATCCTACATATAATATAAGTACTTTTAAAGAAAATCGCAAATATATTGTAATTTTTTTCACTTTTTTTTTTTTGTAGTTTTTGCTATATTTGCAATAATTATGTTGTATTTTTTATTTGAAAATAGGTATATCTTATGTAAAATTTAATTACGAATCTTTTTTTCCCTCTTCAATTTTTCTCTAAAATGAATAGTTTTTGAACTGTGTTGAAAAAAAATAGAAAATAAATGGAATTGTTTCCAATTTTTTCACTATTTGTTTAATAATAAGTTTAGCACACGTTTTGCGCAATTAAAGCAAAGATTAGCGATACTATATAAAACATCTACACCACCAAAATCTAGCCTGGTCTATAAAGCCTCTTATTACTATTAAAATGGATTAATAATGACTACAGGTTAGCAAGTGTTAAAACACTATCAACCAGCTGTCTATTAATAAGGTTGGATTTGCCTTTTTAGTTCAAGTTCATCGTCTTTAATATGGGACATGAATGAAACTATATAATAAAAGGGTAGTAGCACAGCATTTATTCTTAATAAACGAGTTTGGGCAGCACATAAACGAACGATATAACTGACTACAAACATCGAATAAATCTTTTATTTGCTTTCAACCGATATAAGCCATAAGGAAAATTCCTTAACAGTCGTCTCCAGGTCCAGGTACATATTCTGCACCATCTTCAAGGTCAAACTGATCAGATTGTCGAACCTCACCACCACCGCCGTCCCCTCCTCCTTCTGTTTAAGGGGATTGCCCTCTACGTCTCTTTCGTGCGGGTCGAAAAGGTAGAAAAACCCAGTCCTTGTGAATATGCTGACCCACTGGTCCAAGTAACTCAGCATGCAGTAAGACTCCTGTTGGAAATACACGTTCAGGATCCTAATCAAGTTGCTCATGTTGAAGATGTCGCTTATTATGGGCTTGTACACAGTGACGTGTATCTCTATGTTGTTGAGGAAGAATTTCCTGACGACGTTTTCCAAGCCCAGTTTCTTGTCCTTGGGGCTGTAGGCTATGTACGAGTCTATGTACAGCTGGTCACCGGTGTCTAAGACTAGGTCTATGTGTTTGGATGTCCAGGTGTCTATCGGGATCAGCTTGTGCATCACGATGGAGACTATGCAGTTGGTTATGTCCTGGTTGTTTCGGGAATTCTCGTTGTAATTCTTGGAATTCTGGCTTTTATAGCCCCTGATGATGGCGTCTCCGTTCTTCATGATGTAGTAACCGTTGCGACCGATCTTTTGCAGTTCCTTGCCTTGCTTTCGTTTACGCTCGTTTGCAGCCTGCGGAATATAAATGTATGATTATTTAATTATACATTTTTTATTATCAGACGTTGTGCTTTCGCTTTCATCCAAGAAATAGCTTCAAAGACGAGCTGGGTACTCATTCTTTCATCCAAATCGTATAACGAAATAACAAATCTGACAGTGAAATTATTGAATAATGTTCTGAAATAAGAACATAATATAAATGTTCTTATTTCTAACAGCTCTTTGGACAAGTGTTCTAATTTTTTAAAAGGTAATTAATAAATATCTGAACATTTTTAGAATTATACATTATACTAATTCCAGATTGACGTGTTTCTTCGTCTTTCGTTATACAGGGTGGTGCACCTAAGAGGTGTTCTTCTGTAACTCTGTAACTGTAAAATTTATAAACAAAAATGGTTTTAATAAAAGTTGTTTAGAATCATATATGGGCCATGTAAAGAAAATATTTTTAGCCTTACAGGGTGTTCCATTTCGCGTGGACGCTACATAACTTTATTATTTTAAATGGAACACCCTGTATATTATTGCGTTTTTGAATTCCTTGGTTAATATTAGGTAGAGTCTATTAAATGTATATGGTGTTTGAAACTTACTGTTTTCGATATAATCAGTTGTTTTGAAAAAACTCACGATTTCAGCTTTCTACAGGGTGTTTCAGGATTAAGTCGACAAACTTTAAGGAGATATAGTCCACAGTACAGGCCCCCTCTGGAAAGTTGATTACCACATACTTTATAACTCATGAAGAGCTTCATTTTGACGAGTCTACCACATTTTTCCTCTGCGACTTTTCTCGATTCCTCCGCTTTTCCACTCGGAAAAGTCCAAAAACATGGAAATTTCCCGGGGTCTTGAAAAGTCAAGACCACATCTTTTGTTTTTAGCTTAAGTAACTGGAAATTTTGTTAATTGTAAATAATTAATTCAGTCAAAAAGTATTATTGTCTGACAAATTTCAAGCCGCGTTTTTTCAGTCCGACAGCTGGAAATCGGAATTTTCACGGGGTATGAAAAATCGATTACCACATATCTAGTTTTCATTTTTTCCACTTTTAAATTTACTGTACAAAATAGTGATATAAGTGGCCGATAATTTAATGTCCGCTAATTATTAAAAAATCAATAAATCAATAATCGTGATGAAATTTAATTTTTTCACTCCAAAAATTTCATATTTATACATGGTTATTAATTATTATTATGTAAATTATTATTTATTTCAAATAAATAATTATAATATTGCTTATTTTATGCTTAAAAATTTTAAAGTTATAAACAAATGAAGTTATTTTTGAGACGATTAATACTATCTTAGTACATAATGCATTATTTCTAAATTAATATTATACTTGATATAAAAATGCTTTTTTCTCTTTCAAGTTTTCATTCGCGTTTGTTATTTTTCTTTACAAAAATTTTCCTATTTTCCTAAAAGAAAATCCCAAAAATGTTGTGCATAATTTTTTTACACCATACATACTTTTTTGAAATCTTTTAATTCTTTTCTCGATATTTATTTGGCTAAATTGAGCATATAGAGATTTACAATTACATGAATAAAACGAAAAATATATATAGGGTGTTTCAGAAAAACCTCCCGTAAATAAGGGGGTGATAGTACGACAAAAACTGAGAATTTTTTGTCTTATGAACTATATGTCTATCTCCTCTTGTTTTCGAGATACAGAGAGACAAAATAAAACTTTTTAAACAACATTTTTATGAAAATTTCCAAACGGTGCGAAATATTTTTATGAAATTTGGTAGTCCGGGGTTTTTAAGGGTGCCAAATACGTTAGTCTAATTATTTCTTCTATATTTCATAGAGGGCGCTAGTTATGCTACATTCTTATTACATTTTAAGTTCTATTTTTTTTAAGGCTAGGTATTTTACCATTCGGGCTCCAATTTCTATTGTACAATTTTATTTTCTAAAAATAACTACTCTTGTTAGAACTTCCTAATGTGGACGATTTTCGAGAAAAAAGGCGTTCAATTAAACTCTTACAATATTACACTATAAAATAAGTGACTTTTCTCAAAGTATGCTTGAGGAGATAGACATATAGTTCATATGACAAAAAATTCTTATTTTTTGTCGTCCTCACCCCATGTATTTACGAGGTCTTTCTGAAATACCCTGTATTGTATATTTATATGGAATTTTGCTTAATACATGAAAATACCTTATTAGAAATTATAAGTACATGTGCACATTTTTTACGAAATTTTTTTCATCATTTTTTGTCGGACTGGCGATTTGCGGATACATTTTTGTCGGACGTTACAATTTTTGCTTATAAAAAACACTTTTCTATCGTGTGTTATTTTTGTCCGACATGTGGTAATCGATTTATCATACCCCGTAAAAATTCCGATTTCCAGCTGTCGGACTTAAAAAACGCGGCTTGAAATTTGTCGGACAACAATACTTTTTGACTGAATTAATTATTTACAATTAATATTACTAAAAATTACCTATGTGGTAATTGATTTTCAATACCCTGTTACTTTGGCATGTTTCGACCGGTAGACACGTCAATGTCGGAAGAATTTCTGTCGGACAAATTTAAATCCGCATTTGCAACCAAATTCCCAGTTACTTAAGCTAAAAACAAAAGATGTGGTCTTGACTTTTCAAGACCCCGGGAAATTGCCATGTTTTTGGTCTTTTCCGAGTGGAAAAGCGGAGGAATCGAGAAAAGTCGCAGAGGAAAAATGTGGTAGACTCGTCAAAACGAAGCTCCTCAGGAGTTATAAAGTATGTGGTAATCTGTACTGTGGACTAATATTCCTCATAAAAAAATAAGAAAAAATCAAGTATAATTTTTTTTTCCAGAGACGCTTCATTTTCGAAATATAGGGCGTTAAAGATTCTAAAAAAAATTAACCAAGGAATTTAAAAATGCAATAATATACAGGGTGTTCCATATAAAATAACAAAGTTATGTAGCGCCTACGCGAAATTTAACACCCTGTAAAGCTAAACATATTTTCTTTGCATGGCCCACATGATTCCAGGCATCTTTTATCAAAAACATTTTTTTATAAATTGTACAGTTGCAGAGTTATACAAGAATCCCTCTTAGATGGAACACCCTGTAAGTAGATATCGGAAATGGTAAGCCGGCTGCAATGTGGTATTGGGTTGACTGTAGGCTCTTTTACGTAATTTTATTCAAACAAAAAATGACAGCCGTTGCCTTCTTATAACTGCTCTTTACTTTACAATATACAGGGTGGTCCAGTCTGTTGCGGAAACTTCAGAGACCGATAAAGATTTTAAAAAAATATAAGTTTGCTATATAAACTATATTCGAGAAATGCTACGTTAAGGAGGTGTTCAAAATTCGTTTAAAAAATCAATTATTTTGAATTTTTATTTATTTATTTATTTTTGTTTATTTTATTTTTTATTTACTAATTGTTGCCAAACGGCTGAAGATGTTTCAATGAAGCGACGTTAACTACCATCGAGGGAGCACGTTTTGCAATGAAAAACATTATTTCTAATTTTGCCAGTCTGTACTAGCACGTTACTGGATATTTCTAAAGAAAAAAATTGATATGCCACTGCTTTTTCATAAAATAAAAATCAGTTTTGGATTCTTCATTCAATTTGGAAGAAAAATACTCTCTCTCGATTTTTCTGTACGACTCAGCGTTTTCAAAGCGATATCTGAAAAAAATTTAGCAAGTACGACAAAATAACTTTATCTATCAAATTAATTAGTAACTGTGTCACTTTAGTTGGCTCTCCAGTAATTTGATTTGTAAATATTGTTATTGTTATCGTTATTATTAGTGTTATCTTGAAAAATGCTTTTTAGTAACGAAGAATGTGCAGATTCATGTTTGTTACGGCTTTGCATCGATCAATTTATTCGTTATGTATCTAGTGGCATCTAATACCAGCCATGTCGCCATAGCGTGCCGATGAATAATCCAAGTTTTTTGTTGAAAAAGGTTGGCCGTTCATTTTATTGTTGTTTGTACGTGTGTGTGTGTGTGTGTGTGTGTGTGTGTGTGTGTGTGTGTGTGTGTGTGTGTGTGTGTGTGTGTGTGTGTGTGTGTGTGAGTTTGACGCTTTGCGTGGTCGAGTGTATGGCACGTGGTTTTATGGCAGTCAGTAGCATTGTGTATTGTGAGCATAGAGCGGCACACGACTTGACCACAGATTTAGCCTATCTCTGCTACTACAACGCGTATTGTCGCTTACTAGCACAATATAGATTACTACTGTTTATTTATTTGATTGCCGCCACAAAGTTTCCGATGTCTAGTTATGTGATTAGCTGATTGTACGTAAAAACGACACGTTTTCCTCAAATTATATTTGGACATTATAAACGTCTTTCGATGTGTGTTTATTGGAATGACTTAGATGATAAGGCGTAATTTATTGTCTGTTAACATTCAGATACCTATTAATTACATTTCTTTTTAAAATAGAGCAACATGAAATGACAAAATAATGCAGAAGTGGTTTAGCTAAGCCATCATGGCTGAATTTCGTATTGAACATTGTCCAGAGTAATGTGATTTAGGAAATTTTTAGAATTAATTTAAATTAGCTTAACAACTATAAAAATTGCTAGTGAATTGAGCAACCGCGTGATATAATAAAGATATAAAACGATGTCCGCTTTGAATGCAAATAGAAACAAAATAAGTTTTAATATAAATACTTATGGTGATATTTAATGTCCTTCTATTACATATTATGTCAGGAAAAGAGTTTAGGTCAATCGTGCAAAGAGAAAACAACAACAAAACGTCGTTTGAAAATCGCACAACATATTTTTCTCAATATGTGCAATTAATTAGAAGCGGGTCGGAATATAAATTCGTCATTATAAGCAAAGTTGCAAGTTCGTTGTTCGATAGGAAGCCTTTTAGTAAGGTAACAGGTAATTCTTTTATAGATTAATTTAGGTCGAAAAATTTGTGTAATACTGTTTGGAAATCTTTCACATAACTTTTTGCTCGCCAATAGAGTGTGTGGA